CAAGCGGACGAGATTAAGCGCATCGTGCGCATCCGCTCCACTACCGAGGGTGTCGCCATCACCGATGCTGCAATTGACAAGATTGCGGAGCATGGCGTTCGCATCAGCCTTCGGTACTGTATGCAGCTCCTGACGCCTGCGAGGTAAGAACCCCCCGTCTCCCTCCACTACCTGGTCAGAGGGCAATGTGTCCCTTGTCTGTCACTTGTAGACACCTCCACAGTACTGTCTGTGCGGTTACTGTCTCAGACATTCCCGTTTTTGGGCCTATGCTAATGATGAGCGAAGCATTCTTTCGAAAGCAAACGGTCGCAGCCAGATCGACGTCCAGGACGTGGCCGAGTGCGAGGACCTGTTCTACGATGCCCGGCGCAGCGCTGGACTCTTGAGCGGCGAGGGCGGCCGGGGCTACCTCCCATGATGAATGACAATGATGGTCTGATGACGGTGCATCGAATTCCACCTTCGAACTTTCACGGGCCTCTGTTCGGTCTGACCCAGAGCGTTTGTGATGGAATGTGTAAGGCGGCAGCGGGAGAGAGGGAGAGAGAGGGAAAAACTTGTCACAATGCAATGTACAGCAGCAAAAAATCAACGGAGTCAGTCGTAATACAGGCAGGGTGAGTTTTCAGGTTCGGGTCAAGGAAGATCGAGCAGCCTGGGGATGACCGGCGGAAGACGGCGGGTATTCATGAGTCGCGCGACACTGCTGTCAGGATGGATTAAACTTTGGTGGACCACGAAGATCGATCACAGGGGCGAAGGGTGTTTGAATGGGATAGTTTCCCAGGGTTGAACAAAATATGGACAGAGTGTTTGCAGGACCGGTCCCGACTTATAAGACATTCTGCAGCCCCGCGTCCCCGAGACACCTCACGCGGAGGAGAGTACGCCTCCCCGTTGACCCGACCTCTGACAGGTATTCGCGAGACAGACCACGAGCACCGTCAAGCCTCCAGTAGGGCCACTGGGTTGAAGGGGGAATGGTCAATGGGCTCAACCTTCACGTGGAGACATGTCGGGTCTAGACCTGATTCGGGTAACATTGTCTTTGTTCTGGCACTCTGGCATTCCAACGCTACCTCCTCCTCACCTAACAACCCTTCTCGCTTACAATTTGTCCCCATAACTCGCATTCCTGTGCGAGAAACAAGCTGGCATTGTTGCCTTCGCGTCCTTTCAAGCAGTCAGTTGGGCCCACCGTCTGGCCTCGCGTTTGTCGCCTTGTTCCTGTGAGGGCGGAGTCCCCCCTGCCTCTTCCTTTGCGAGGCCGGAGAGAACTTCCAAGGTGAAGGTAAAGAGGGACAGTGAGCAATTTGACAAGGGACCCCGCGGCTGATGGGAGGGGAGGAATCCTCGTGCTTGCGGCACCTTTAACCTCACTCCTGGGCTCCGTGCTTCTCCCAGCCATATGGTGGGACTTGTCACCTTGTCTCGTTGTTTCATCCAGGCTGGGAAAATGGGCTGTCCTTGTTCCTCGTCTTCTTCATCTGCTCCACATCCATATAACCTACTTGTCTTTTATTGTACGAACGAAACTCCCGGCAAACGCCACGCAACAAAGAAAGGTGCAAGCCCCCTCCTCCCCAGTCGACAGGCCACAGAGCCAGCGAAAGGGAGCTGAGAGGCCCAACCAGCTCGCGGCCGGCATCAGAGGACGGAAAGTAGGCACGGGAGACAGAGGAACGAGTGGCTCGTCACATCTGCAACGGCTTGAATACCCCAGCATCCACCCGAGACATGGTAAGGCTATCATCCATCACAACAACCTCTCAGCAGACCCAACCAGCGTCTGCCAAACCAACGGACCGGCCTCCGACCTCCGTGCTCCAGACCCGGGACTAGTCCAGCCTTTACATCTCCCTCCCCCCCGAGCCCCCAGGAACGCTGCACTGCTTAGTGCCTCTCCTTCGCCCCGGGCCCTAGCCTGCCGCTCGATCTGCTTCGGCCTCTAATACATCAACATCCTGACACCTTGGCGGGAGATCGGTATAGAAGACCCCCATCACACCTCAAGCACAAGCACAAGCACATTGAGCCGCTGTCCTGCATCCGCTACTGCGCAGCATATCATTGTCCACCTTGTCACACGTCCTCTTCTTTTCTCGCCCGCTCCTTGCTCCTTGCTGGCGATCGTCCAGGATATTCCCACCTGGTCCACACCTCATTCCCGCAGCCGGTCAAAGAGGCAAGCAGGCGACTGGCCGGAGCTAGACGAACAGAGAGCAAAGAATACGACGAACAGGTCTCTCGGGCACCCAAATCCCCTTGTCAACCGCGCAACCGTCATTATTGGGTCGGTGTGCTTCTCTGATATCTGATCAAACTCCACCGTCTCTCTACCTCTCTCTCTCTCTCTCTTTCTCTTTGGTGAATGGGCCCTGCCCGCCCATCATCTTGATCACCTCTTTCACTTTTGAGCGCAGCGCCTCACCTCATCAACCCCTCCCCTTGTCCTTCGAATCAGCCGGTCGTGTCTCGCCCTCGCCTCGTGCCCGCGGTCTCGTCTCATCTCTCATCTGACATATCAAACGACAAGGCAAAGAATCAGTCTGAGGCGGGCCACCAACCGTCCATTCAGTCGCTTCCGATTCCTCCAGCTCTCCCGCTCATCACAGTCTCCGTATCAGCCACGCTGCCCAGAGCATGGTCTGAGAGTCCGACCAATGCTTACAGCCATCCACGCCCACTCCCGTTTGCACCACCTCCCCAGCATGACTGGCGCTGGCCTGCCTCCGCCGCCGCCGCAGCCACAGTCCCAGTCCCAGTCCCAGCCGCAGCACCCTCAAGACCGCCGCGCATCCTCCTCACCAGGCGACACCTCTGTCGCGTCCGTCTACTCGGCCATGGAGCAGAGGACAGGCCGAGACACCGGTCCCAACGACGCGCCAGCGACGCCCCCGAGGACAACAGCGGCGGGGGCCCGGAGGGGGGGGAACTCCAGAAAGGACCAAAAAGGAGGGCTTGGGAACCCCCCCAAAACCCGTCCCCGAAGTTTTTCCGAGTTGGGGAATGAAAACCCCCCCCT